ATCATGTGGGTGTGTTTGTTCTTTTTTGCAGCATATGGTACCTGCATTTTATGTGAGCTGCAGTGAGATGATCGACAAATGGGGGAAACTGGTAACCATAGAAAGCTCGGGTGAAGTGGATGTGTGGCCTCATCTACAAACCTTTACAAGTGATGTAATTTCACGTACAGCATTTGGTAGTAGTTTTGAGGAAGGGAGAAAGATTTTTGAATTTCAAAGAGAACAAGCTGAGCTGATTATAAAAGCTGCACAATCGGTTTACATTCCAGGATCAAGGTGATTACATTTCAAAACAACGTTTTAAGGGGTTCATGCCTTAAATAGATAACAAACTATATAGTTTGCTCATTTACAAAATACCATGGTTTTTAGAAAGTACTAACAAAAGGTAAGTAATGGGGACGTTTTGTTCACGAAATAATTTTCTTTTGATAGTATTTTCTGAACGTGCTGTTCTCGTTGCTTATCTTGTGACTATTTGTGACATGGCAACTTATTTCTCCCTAAGAAAACTAATAATAGTATGCAAATTAAAACATATCACTTTAATTTGTGGGGCGATATGTTATTTGGTAGTTAAATCGGTACAATCACTACATTTTGGTATTTTATGGTAATCAAATAAGATTTTACAGATTTTTGCCGACAAAAGACAACAAGAGGATGAAAGAGATTGAACGCGAGGTGAAAGCTTCAATAAAAAGAATTATTGATAAACGAGTTGTTGCGATGAAAGCCGGAGAAACTATTAATGATGACCTTTTGGGTATTCTTTTGGATTCCAATTACAAAGAAATCAAACAACAAGGGAGTAGCAACTTTGGATTAAGCATTGAGGAAGTAATCGAAGAATGCAAGCTTTTCTACTTTGCAGGACAAGAGACAACAGGAAATATGCTTGTTTGGACAATGATTTTATTAGGTCAACACACAGATTGGCAGACACGTGCTAGAGAAGAAGTCTTACACGTCTTTGGAGATAAAAGACCAGATATTGATGGGCTAAGTCACCTAAAAGTTGTAAGTTTATCCATATTAATTATAAATTTACTAATACTCCAAAGTTCTTATTTATTTTGTATCTTAATCATCTCATTTTGCAGATTAACATGATTTTCAATGAGGTTCTTAGACTATATCCACCAGCAGTAATGTTAAGACGACTTATACACGAAGATACGAAGTTAGGTAAGTTAACCTTACCAGCAGGAACCCTTATCCAAGTAAACACATTATTTATGCACCACGACAAAGATATGTGGGGTGAAGATGTGAACGAGTTTAAGCCTGAAAGATTTTCTGAAGGTGTGTCAAAGGTGACCAAGGGTCACGCCATGTATCTACCATTTGGAGGTGGCCCACGTATATGTATTGGCCAGAATTTTGCTATGCTAGAAGCAAAAATGGCACTTGCTATGATTTTGCAAGGTTTCTCTTTTGAGTTATCTCCATCGTACTCACATGCTCCACACACTATAATTACTCTACAACCTCAATTTGGTGCTTACTTGACTTTACACAAACTTTAAGTGGTTTGTTCTGCACATTTTAGTTAATTATAAAAGTCTGTTGTGTTATAGTTTTGTGGTTACAAATCTATTCCGTTTGTGTATTATTTATATCATTATGTATGTAATCAATCCTGCATATTGTAAAAGTAATTCTAAGACGACAGTACTTACCAGACTAAAAAAAATTCAAAGGTATCTATAAGAAATAACAATAATAAATCACACACAAAAAGTCATAATATATTACGTGGTTCGGTCAATATAACATAGGTTCACAAAGAATGAGAAGGTATTATTGTTCATGAGCTTGAAAACGATAGTACAATTGAAACCGTAGCTGATAGCTATCAACCGTATTATACAAGCAATGTAGAAATGTAAACCTAATTAGACTAAGGTCGAACCCAACTACAAAAATCAATGAAAGGTGTCGGGTGTTTTTACTTTGTTCAGACATGTCAATATCCATTTCGATCATCAATTCTCAAGTCATGTTTAACAATTTACACCATTGATTTGAATACACTCCAAACTCCATAAATGAAGAACTTTCGCTCCCCGTGCCATTTTTCCCCGAAGGGACTTATTCCCTGCTAATTAACATATATCAAGTCCAAGCAATGCTTGAACTGCTAAGTAGACAACAACTTTTTCAACATATCATGCAAGATGTTCCTTGGTATACATCTTTTGAATAGAAACTTTTTATTTATGATAACATGCACTTTTTCTAAAAGTTTTTTTGGCTTACTGAATGACCTCTTAAGGCCCCTTTTATTTATGATAGTTTTGCACTTTTTCTAACGAAAAAAAACATTTCTTGTTTAAACAACAGCTCAAAACATTTTTATTATTAAGCCTTAATAATAGACCTGAATTGATATTATTCTATTATTAAATATAACTGCTTATTTATTTATTGTACAATAAATGATGCATTAACAACTAACTCTTTATTTATTAATAGTAGGTAAATAAAAAAACATTTATACATTATGAACATTATTATTTGTATGGTCTATATTTTGCTCATAATTGTGTGGCCCCGTTAGTTCATATTTGAACATTATCCAACACACAAAACCTGAATTGGAAGATTATGTCCCTCAGCATACAACATTGATTGGGTTCTAATCTGAAATGAATAGGAACATGTAGTCTTTAGAAGGATTTCTACGATCCATAAATCCTCCAAAAATATGGTGTTAATACCATTCCCTACATTCATTTTTATATATGAATGCAAGTCAAGGTATCATTACAAGAAGTAGTAAGACATTTCCAAGGAGATTTTGGCAACGAAAAAACAAAGGATATATTTCCAAACTTTGATTCTAGAAATGTTATCCCAAATAGGAAGGTAAAGAAGGAGCAAAGGAGGAGTTCTTTCTTACATTATCTTTTGTTTCTTTATTTTTTTATTTTTTCAAAAGGTTTAGTCTATTAGATCGGGTGATAATTCAAAACAATAAAACACTATGCGTTCAATAATCAATTCGATCACCAAGGTTGAACGAGGGATTACAAAAGTTGCAACATAAATAACTAAAAACAAAGGGAGAAAAACCATTTTACCTCTTGAAGACTATGACCAATTAAGACCCAAAAAGAGCCCCCTATATCTGTCTCCTTAAAGCTTTGATCTAACTTTGGTGAATCCAATACACATGAACACCATGTAACATCCTATTTTTCACCTTTGTTGTAGATTTTAATATAAAACTGTAACATCCCGACTCCTAAGTATAATATTTACTTACATTATATGCATTTTGTCAGGGCAACTCGACGAGTTTGAGGCCCCAACTCGCCGAGTAGAGATTGAGATGGCCGCGTGATTTTTTAGAGTCTACTCAACGAGTTGGAGGACCCCAACTTGACGAGTAGGAGCTGAGTGTGAAAACCCTAATTTTCAGGGTTTGTACCCTATTTAAAGGACCTTAAGCCTTTCATTCAGCCTCCCTTATCACCTTAACACATTGAGAGAAATCCTAATCGAGCTATTACCATCTGTGAGATAGAGAGGCTAAGATTGTATGTTTTAGTGCGTTCTTGGATGGAGATAGAGGAGCAAAAGGCTTGGAACGAGAAGGGTCCTTGGATCAAGTGTTCTTTCAGTGTTAGCTGCTATTTGGAGTTAAAAAGCTATCACATTGATCATTTGTTTGGTTAGATCTCTTCACTAGGGAGTTTATGGCCATTTCCATATTCTCTTTGAGTCCTTAAGTTGTTTGAGCATGTCATGAAGTTGAGACTTCAGATCTGGATAGTATGAGGTCCCTTGGGCCTAAAGATTTAATCTTTATCAAGCTATTGGCTAACTTTCATGCATTAAACCCTCTATAGAGCTTTGTTTTGGCATTTTGAGCCCTAGATGCCATGCATGGACGTAAATCTTGTAGCTTTACGTGATACTTCAGCCTTAGAAGGCTAGATATAGACTATGGGACCTTAGTTCTGCTTAAAAATGTCCGAATGAGAGAATGGACTGAAGGGACTCGACGAGTTGATGAGCCAACTCGACGAGTTGGTTAGGGTTTTCCCCGATAGTCTGGACGCATTACAACTCAGCGAGTTGGTGAGACAACTCGACGAGTTGAGTTGGATTTTTCCCAATATTTCAGAGAAAACGAAGGAAATCGATGAGTCGCATAGATGCACTCGACGAGTTAGGACAACATGGAATGTTGACTCGAGTGTTGACTTCCATTGACTTTTAGGGTTTGGTCAAGATATGGATTATGGAAATCATGGAGGGGTAAAATGGTCTTTCACCCTTTCCGAGAGTTAGAAAAGGGGTTAGCCTAACATCTTTAGAGTTTTTGTTATAAGTGTTAATTAGAGATGATTATGATATGTAGGCAGAGTCTGAACCGATCGTTGAGTACGGGACCTACTTGCTTACGTACGAGGTGAGTCTTCTCACTATACTTACCTGAGTAGTAATACTGTGTGATCGGAGGGTCTTATATGCTTATACTGAGTTATGTGATATCATGCATTTATCTTTGTGATTTATGTTGTATATTATTCTGTGCCTTATTGAGTTAGGACCGGAGGGTCCAACCCGAGTTGTGAGACCGGAGGGTCTTTATTGAGACACATTGACCGGAGGGTCCTTATTGAGATATAGACATGGGAGGCTAATTATTTGTGTGTGGTATTTTGGGGAACTCACTAAGCTTTCTACTTACAATGTTGTGTGAAATGTGTTTCAGGTACCTTTCAGGATCGCGGGAAGGCACTGGCTTGATTGTACACACCAGCTAGAGATTATGTTTTGTGGATTCTGGGATATTATCAAACACTTTGTTGTCTTGTGTTTTGAACAACTTATACATTTTGTGTTTTGAGAAATGTGAGATTGTGTTTTATGTGGTTTTAAAAATGAGAAATTTATTTGAAAATTTAGAGTGTTACAAGTTGGTATCAGAGCCTTGGTTTGAGGGATTCGGATGTACCCTCGGGTATGTCTGGACTTAAATTGAGGATTTGGGAAAATTTTCTAAAAATAAATGATCTTTCTAAAACGAGTAAGAGCTTTTAAGAGAAAACGAGATGAAGCAGTGTGTATAATCAGCCAGAGCCAGAACGGTGATTTCCTAAAATACCATTACTTGTTTATATTGTGAGATACTTATGAGATATTAGAGCTTCATGCTAGAAGATAGGCTAGGTATTTCAGTATTTAGAGGTAGAGTTGCCTGATTCATGATGCCTTAGCCTAGGGGATGCTATTGATTGATATTGTCTGCTATTTGCTCTTTGTATGTGCTGAGTAGGAGTACCTAGCAGGAATCTTTTAGAGAGAGTTTAGAGTCGAGGAGTAATCTAGGAGAGATACCTAGATGTGCATTGAGAAGTCTACTAAGAGAGTAGTTTGATATCCGTAAGGAATAGAGTACTTGTGAATTAGAATCCTAGGAGGAGGACTTGGGGCGACTACAGGTTGGTGTGGAAGGTAGTATTGGGCCCATACTACTGAAAGCACCGAATCTATATGCGACCCAAGGAAGAACCTTAGGATGCTAAGGAGCATGTAGGGTGGGTAATCGAGTGTGTGTGTTTGAGCTAGTCTCTGATAATTTTTGTGTTTGTGTTTCAGAGACACTATGGTGATTACCCGCAACAACCCCAGGGGAAGTGGTACCAGTGACGAGGAGATCCGTAGGATCATTGCGGAGGAGGTGGCCGCAACTATCAAAGAGGCCATACCAGAGATGTTCGGTTTTATTAAGACCACACTGATTGAGACTTTTGATGAGCGATATGCTGCCATCACAGAGGCTGCTGTTGCCACAGCCACCGCAAACCTAGCTGCTGCGAGGCCTCAGGGGGGTGATTCGTTGTTGCTTCGCGAGTTCAGCAACACGAAGCCACCAGAGTTCGACGGGACCCAGGAACCGATTGCTGCTATGAGATGGATTTCTGATATTGAGGGATGTTTCTATACCTGTTCATGCCCTGAGGACCTGAAGGTTCAATTTTCACTGAACCAGCTTCACTTGGGAGCGAAGGACTGGTGGAGATTTGTGACGACTGATTACTCTCCTGCAGACCATGCAGCAGTGACATAGGCGAGGTTCACACAGCTATTCCGAGATGAATACATTCTGTAGTGGTGTTGAATATGATGGCATGTGCGGAATTAGAAAGATCTAGTGAATCATCATGTTAAATCAAGAACACAAGGAGTAAATAAATCTTTGTAACCTCATATTAGATCTAGAAAGGATATACAAATGGGTTTGTACAAATTTCTCTCTCTAGTCTAACACTCCAAATGGTTCCTTACATAATGGGAGTCACTCACTTCCTATTTATAGGAGAGACTCAACCCATTTACACATACAAAGGGGTAAAACCTAAGACTCCACATCCAAGCATGACTTTGTACCCT